ACTTAACATTCAGCATACTTTTTGTATTTTTGCAATAACCTTTTAAGGACACGTGCCTTTTAAGCAAATTAGAGTAAGCTCTTGAGGACCAAGAACATCTCTTCGTACCTCACAGAAACCAAAACAATGTCCCCCTCAGAGTAAATACTCAATAATTTCCAGGTCGTGATAGTAGATTCCCATGACCACTGCCAACTGTATATTAAAACATTGACAGAAGCCATCTCAATGTGAGAGAAACATCCATAAGCTGCCTTTCCCATGCGCCCCCACCAAGGATCAAACCTGCAACCTAGGTATATGTGCCCCAACAAGAATCGGACAGCAACCTTTTGGTGCACAGAACAACACTCAACCAACTGAGTTACATGGCCAGGGCAATTGGGCAACTTTTTAAAAAAATATCTAAGAGGTGCAGGTTTTCATGCCTGGAACAATACACTCTGCAGACAGCATATGAGAATACAGTGTGTAGGAGAACCCATATGAATTCAAATTTCATTTATTTTTCCCATGGAATCCTTTGAACTAAGGTTCATGACTAAGTCCTCACTAATTCTTCACTCCAGAAATCAGTGGAAAAGTATCTACATCATGAATCTCATGCTGGGGAAATAGAAATTAACCCTGTACAGGCCATTAGGATTAGTGTAAAACTACTCTGAGATCAATTAAACTACCTTCAAGGGACTCAGGCCAGACCTGTTCAATATTTTTGAGTTTACCGGAGTCATAACAGAGCCACAGGAGAGTATGGACTTTGAAAGTTGGTGTTCAAACTAGAATCTGGAGACTTGCAATTTTTTTTTTTTTAAATTGTACTGGAAGGAACAAGGAGGTTATTAGTCTGTCTTCTGGGAACTGATCCAAAGCTCCATCCCTGCTTCATCTACCAGAGAAGAACTTGAAGAGACTTGGCTCCTCTTGTAAGATAACTGTTGTGCAAGCATTTAAGCCTCTGGTACAGACTGTTGATTTAAAAGAAAAAACAAACAAACAAACAAACAAAACAACCAAAGACATTGCTGGGAAGTAAGGATCAGGAATTGGAGAAGACAGTGTTGTGTTCTGGTTATAACAAGCCACTACAGTGTTGAGAATAGGACACGAAGTCAGTGAAGAAAGGAAATGACCAGAGAATTAACAGTTCCCAACAGCAGAGGTGATGTGTAATGTCAAACTGTTCATACATCTGTATCAGATGGATACATCTAACACTTGAAAAGGAATTGGCTATTACAGAGAACCATAGGAGTTTGTGCACCAATGAGAGAAAAATTGTCTTCATATTAAGAATAGATTTTTGCAATGAGCAAAAAACCAAGGGGGCTTTTGAACAATCTGGAGAATAAAATTGTATTGGAACAACATATATAAGAATTATGGAAACTTCACTACAGTGAAGCATTCCTGTGGGAGTTTTAATTTCATGAGATGCCGGAAGGGTCTCCAGCATCTTTAACCTCAATGGAGATAATTCAGGGAGAAAAAGAATACCAGGTGCTCTCAGGAAACAAAACTAAACAAGTTGGGACTCTGGGGTACCAGTTCCAACTTAAGCAGCTGCAGTTGATTTAAGTATGACTCAGCTCCGTGAGGTTAAATTCCCAACAAGCAAGATATCCAGAAGTAGAGAAAAGCAGATCTTGTCCTCTGGTCAAAAGACTCCCCAAAGCAAATCTGAAAATCTAGTTGCAAATAAGGTCCATTAATTTGCTACTTGTGAAACAGATTCTGTGCACAGAAAAAAAAAAAAAATGCTAAGGAGAATGGGTTGGACATTCAGCCTTCTCTCTGCATCATCCTTAAATTCTAATCCTGCCACAATTGAAACAAGCAAGGGCCATCAGTTTTCAGGCAAATGTAAGATGGCAGCCTGAGTGAGCCATACTAAAGAACTCTCCCCATATCCCAGCTGCTGGCTGAAATACACAGTTTTTCAAAGGAAGCCTAACCTAGGGCCTGCCAATTTAGGGATGCCTCTCCTCTTTGGACCAGTCTTTACTTTGATTCTTTTGTTTGCAATGAGACTGAACTGCAAAATATCAAGTTTATTTAAGCTGAATCAGAGATTTGTTTTTTATACAGGGTGAGGCAAAAGTAATCTTTTAGCTGTGAGTATGCAAAACACGGAGTTTATTTTTATATTATTTATTATTGTATTATATTCCATATGAACTGTAAACCTACTTTTGCCCCTGTATTTATACTGCTAGAATAAAAGGGTGCTCTTTATATAAAAAACAGATAAATCAACAAATATCACTTCATTTTAGTGATTTGGAGTAGTGGGCATATAATGAATGTGTGGGCAATAACTTTTGAGGGTGAATTTTTGACATCAAAATCTAGAAATGTATGAGTGTTCCATAATAAAGACTGTACTCTTGACCTTGGATTCTTATATGAAGAAGAGGTATACCTACATATCTGACAGTGAAACTTCCATACATTAGGATCAACCAACTTATTAAATATCTTTCATTTGAACCTCTTTTTAGGACTATTAAAAAAAAGTCCAGACAACCAAGTGGGATTTATCCCAGGTATACCAGGTATAAGAGGCTGGTTTGACATTTAAAATTCAATTAACGTAATCCATCACAACAACAGGCTAAAAAAAGAAAAGTCATATGATCATATCAATAGATGCAAAAAAAAGCAGTTGACATAATCCCACACACACTTGTTAAAAATTCTCAGTAAACTAGAACTAGATAGGTACTTCCTCAACTTTGATAAGGAATTTCTACAACATAGCAACTCAAACATCATACAGCTAACATCATAGCAACTCAAAGCTTCTCCACTAAGATCAGGTATTAAGCAAGGACATCACCTCTCCCCATTCCTTTTCCACATGACACTGGAAGGTTTGGCTAATGCAATAAGACAAAAAAAAGTTATACAGATTAGGAAGAAAGACATAAAACTGTCTTTATTCACAAATGACACGATCATCTATGTAGGAAATCAAAAAAACCAAAAAAGTAAAAAAAAAAAAAATTCTACTAGAACTAATAAGGGATTATAGCAAGGTTGCAGAATAAAAAGTTAATATGCAAAAGTCAATTGCTTTCCTATATGCCAGCAATGAACAAGTAAAATTTAAAATTAAAAATACAATACCATTTACATTAGAACCCCACAAAATGAAATACTTAGGCATAAAGCTAACAAAAAATGTGTAAGATCTACACCAGGAAAACTTTAAAAACTCTGAAAATCAAAGATCTAAAAAAATGGAGAGGTATTTCATGTTCACAAATAGGAAAACTCAACAGTTAGAACATCAGTTCTTCCCAAATTGATCTATACACTGAATGCAATCTCCCCCCAAAAAACCCAAAATTATTTTGTACATATCAACAAATTGGTTTATACGGAGAGGCAAAAAAACCCAGAACAGCCACCACAATACTTGAAGGAGAAGGACAAGGTTGGAAGACGGACACCGCCTAACTTCAAGACTTCATAAAGCGTACAGTAATCAAGATAGTGGTATTGGTGAAAACAGATCAGTAGAACAGCATAGAGAGCCCAGAAATAGGTGCATACAAATATGGTCAACTGACCTTTGACAAAGAAGCAAAGGCAATACAATGGAATAAAAATAGTTTTTACGATAAATGGTGCTGGAAAAATTTGAACTTCACATTAAAAAAAAAAATGAAGCTAGACACAAACCTTACAACCTCCACAAAAATTAACTCAAGGTGGATCATAGACTTAAATGTGAAATGCAAAACTATAAAATTCCTAGAAAATAACAGGAGAAAACCTAGATGACCTTGAGTACAGCAATGACTTTTTAGATAAAACATCAAAGGCACCACCCACGGAAGAAATAACTGATAAGCTGAACTTCATTCAAATTAAAAATAACTGCGAGAATGAGAAGACAAGCTATAATCTGACAGAAAATATTTGCAAAAGACCCATCTGATAATGGACTGTTACCCAAAACATAGAAGGAACTCTTAAAACTGAATTAAAAAACAAGCAACTCTATTAAAAGATGGGCCAACAACCTTAACAGATACCTCGACAAAGAACACATACAGATAGCCAATAAGCACATGAAAAGATGCTCCATATCATATGTCATCAGAGAAATGCAAATTAAAACAATTGAAATACCACTACATACCTATTAGAATGGCCAAAATCCTACACGCTGAAATCAAATTTTGGCAAGGATGTGGAACAGAAATTCTGATTTATTGCTGCTGGGAGTGGAAAATGATAGAGCCACTTTTGAAGACAGTTTGGCAGTTTTTTCACAAAACTAAACATACACTTACCATATGATCCAGCAACAGTGCTCCTTGGTATTTACCCAAAGGAATTGAAAACTTATGTCCACACAAAAACTTGCATACAGGTGATTTTTTAAAATTGATTTAAAAGAGAGGAGAGAGAGAGAGACATCAATTTGTTGTTCCACTTGTTTATGCATTCATTGGTTGATTCTTGTATATGCCCTGACTGGGGATCAAGCCAGCAACCTCAGCTTTTCAGGGACAATGCTCTAAACAACTGAGCCAGGATCAGGTGTATATACCAGCCTTATTTTTAACTTTTGAAACTTGAAAGCAACCAAGATAACCTTCAGTAGATGGTTGCATAAACTGTGGTGCATTTAACAATGTAATAATATTCAGCACTAAAAAGAGATGAGCTACCAAACTACAAAAATACAGGAAGGAAACTTAAATGTGTATTACTAAGTAAAAGCCCACATTCTGGAAAAGGTAAATCTATGCAGACAATAAAAAAAATTAGTGGTTGCCAGAGGTTGGAGGGGAAGGGCTGAATAGGCAGAGCACAGAGGATTTGTAGAGCAGTGAAAATATTTTGTATGATACTGTAATGATAGATATATGTCATTATACATCTGCCCAACACCAACAGTGAGCCCTAAAATGATGGACTTTGGGTAATTATGCTGTGTCAACGTAGGTTCACCAGTACTAACAAATGTACCACTCTGGTGGGTAATGTTAATAGTGGGAGAGGCTATGCACGCGTAGTGATAGGGGGTATATAGGGAATCTCTGTATCTTCGTCTCAATGCTGCTGTGAATCTAAAACCATTCTAAAAAACTAAAGTCTTTAAAAGCAAACAAAAAGTTCAGATATGCAAAATTGGACACAGTATTTTTTCCACATTTATTTAACTTTCTCTTAGCTAAGTAGTTTGAAATAGCTCATTATTAATAATTTTACAATTCTTCAATTACAAACAAAAAGTATGACAACATGCATAAAAAATGCTTTTGACACTACTTTAAACATTTTTAAGACAAGTGTTTTTTGTTTTTGTTTTTCTTTTAATCCTCACCCAAAAATATGTCTATTTATTTTAGGGAGAGAGAGAGGGAAAGACAGAGAGAGAAAGAGAAACACTGATGTGAGATAGAAGCATTAGTCAGTAATCTCCCATATCCACCCTCACTAGGGGATGAACCTGCCACACAGGTATGTACCCTGAATGGGAATCGAACTGGCAACCTTTTGGTGCACAGGACAACTCTCCATCCAACTGAGCCACCAAGCCAGGGCTTAAGACAGCTTTTAAATTAGCTTTGTGTTGAACTAATGTTATAGATAGCTATAGTTACCAAATTCATAAACTACTGAGAAGGCTGAGTGAATTTTAATTGCAATAATTTGAGTATTAACCTTTACAAGTAGAACTGCCATTAAAACTGTGAAGTTTCAAAGGTTTTCCAACAAAGAAGAAAAACTTACTGTGAGAGAGTATAAACTTATCAATTAAATCAACTGGCTAATCACTTTTTTCAAAAAGATTTAGAAGGGATTGAAAATTCCTTAAATACTGCGTGTTACTATCATAATATTGTCAATAATATCATTGCAAGTTCACATAGTACAACATGGTGCACATGTTGAATATTCCTTTTCTACATCTGGTCATATTTGAACTGATTTATATAAATTTGTAGCTGCTAATCTATGTAGGTGCTCAGCAAGCTACATAACAAAGCAGCTAAGCGTTAACTTGTAAATCCAATTTTGAGAGTCCACACCACTACTCCCAAATCCTTCTTTCCACTTCCAGTAAATAAAATGGAATTTGGGCATTCATATTAATTGTAAAGTAAATAATAATGGAAGCAGAACACAAGGAAAGTATATTTGAGTCTCTTGATCTAAAGTTCCACTGTCTACCTAACACTGAGTCTTAAATACTCAATTCTACTGCCACCTACTCTCAACAGTGTTTCCCTCTCCACAGCCTCCTCTGCAGACATTATAGCACTTAACACAGTCAACTGTAATCGTTAATTTTGTCTGATTCTTGTTGAGCATTTCAATAAATGCTCAGCAAACACCGACTGAATAAATAAAGAATGAACCAAACATTCATTCCAGATGTTGTCACTAAACATCGTAATTAGTGTTTCATAACTTAAAACTATGTTTAATATAATGTAAAATATAAGAAAAAAAACTAATCATCTTAGCCGATTTCTAACATCAATACTTTAATCCTCATGTTCAGTTATATTCATATACACAGTACTATATTAGACACTGGCACAATGCCGGATTAGCTCTCAGAGCCTCCTTTTTATCATATAGTGACATAATTCGTCTAGATTAGCAACAAAAGACAATTCCTAAAGAAATATGCCCCATAAAATGATATATCAATAAAATTAACACTGTTATTAAAATAAATTTTCTCATCCAAGACTGTCTATCTCTACTTTCAAATCAGGATGTTTTCTTGATAAAAGCTAGATCCAATCATTTTTTATTCTAATTTTCCTTTGGTACAATAAACAAGCCATAAAGTAACAGTTTCTGCTACTTTTAATAAATTAATATAACCATTTCATGTTTCTTCCCCACACATGTTCTTACAGATAAAATTCAATTATAGTGAATGCCCTTGGATAGCCAAATTGATTGGTATTGCAAAGCCACTGTTAGAAATTATTATATATATTATATCTCTTTCAGGACTAATTTATTACACAGATGCTAGGCTTCAAGAACTGAAAACCAGTATCTGAAATCTGAGTAAAAAGTGACAGATGTGACAGATACACAAATTCTTTCCATCAAGATCAGAGATTACTGTGTAATATGGTATTCTTTATTTTGAAATTTTATGTGCAGAATTATGGAACTTTCAAGAGGTAGTGAATTTCTTTTTCTCTTCCATAGTAATCAAGACTCCAACAAAGTATTTTCTATGCCTGTTTATTCTTCATAATATATCATTATTATAATTGACTATAGTGAGAAATGAAAATATTTGAAAAAATGTTTAATACAGCATCCTTCCTGATTAACAGCATTTATTTTAATGGGATTTTATCTATAGTATATTAAACCTCAGACAAGAAACCAATAAAGAATTCAGTGACAAAGTATTCATATAACTATATCACAGATCCCAGGAAACTGACATTCAGAAAAGATTTAAGGCTGCCCAGTAATAATAGCCTTTTATAAAACCCAACAAACCTTACCATTGTAATTTAAATTAAAAGGAACCGAAATATTAGTTTCTGTTGAGCCAAGATTAAGAAAATCTTCCACTGTTGTCATTTTCATGTTCTTAGCTTTTCAATCAAATAATCAGCCTGTAATTTTAAAAATACAACATTTTTTATTTCACACATCATAGCTAGTGTAAAATAATTCTATTGGCATCCCTATTTATAATAAACCACAGCGGACAAGCCGGGTAATAAAATTTCTGTTCCTAAAGATATCTTACAAAACAACTAAATATAATAGTTTTATAAACTATAGTAAAGGTATTCTACATTGCATATAAGTAGGCATATTTTATCCACACTGCACAGTCATTAAAAAGTTTCAATAAGAAAAGGAAAATATAATACTAAAGTTTTTAAATGTAAACTAGACATGGAAGAACCTTAAATGCATATTACTAAATGAAAAAAGCCAATCTGAAAATAGAACATGACTGTACGATTCCACCCATATGACATTATGGATAAGGCAAAACTGTGGGTACATTAAAAAGATCAGTGGTTACCAGGAATTAAGGGGGAGGGACAGATGAACAGGCAGAGCATAGAGGATTTTTAGGGCAGTGAAACTATTCTGTATACTATAATGGCAGGCACATGTCATTATACATTGTCTAAATCCATAGAATGTACAACATCAAGAATGAACTCTAATAAAAACTACGGACTTTGGGCGATAACAATTTGCCCATGTAGTTTCATGGGTTACAACAAACATATCACTATGGTGTAGGATGTCAACAGACTGAGTGTGTGGGGATAGCAGTATATGGGAGCTCTGTACTTTCCATTCAATTTTACCATGAACCTAAAACTGCCCTAACAAATAAAGTCTATCTGAAACATTAAAAGTAAAGTCTTCTAGTTGTATCATTTCAGATACTTTTCTCGATCATCTTATCTCGATCTAGAATATTATGTAAGAGATTTTAGAATAAACTTTAATATCTTTATCTTGATTTTTTCAAAGTTTCATAATATATTGTACACTGACAGATTTAAGAAGAGTTCAGATTTCCAGGGTGAACCATTAACAGATCTTATAACTTTGTTCATTTTTTCTAACTAAAAAGTTATGTAAGAATAGTTTAAAACATTACAAAAACGAATTTTTGTTTCATTCTTAAATTTTTTATTGTGATAAAATACACATAAAATATAACATCTGAATCATTTTTAAATACATAGTTCAATGGTATTATGTATATTCCCAATGCGCTGTACCATCACTACCATCCATCTCCAAAACCCTTTTCATCTTGCAAAACAAAAACTCTATATCCATTGAACAATAACTCCCCATCCTTCACCCCTCCCCCACCCTCATAGGGCCTCCCTCCTGGCAACCACCATTCTTCTTTCTGCCTCTATGAGTTTGACTACTCTGCGTACCTCATATAAGTGGAATCATACGCCATTTGGCTATTTCCCTGAGCATTGCATCCTCAGGGTTCATCCATGTTATAGCAGAATTCCCTTCCTTTTTTTTAAATTCATTTTTCAGATACAGTGGACATACAATATAATATTAGTTTCAAGTGTTCAACATAATGATTAGATATTTATATACCTTAGGAAGTGTTCACCCCAGTAAGTCTAGTGCCCTTCTGGCACCAAACACAGTTATTACAGTATTATTGACTATATTCCCTAGACTGTATTTTACAAATATGGGAGCAGTATTTTACAAATATGTATTTTTAATTATTTTTTATTATAAAAGCATGGCCCATGTAGAATATGAGAAATACAAATAAGAAAAAAATCCTTTTTATCCCACTGATATTTTAGAGACCAAACCAACCGTCCTACAGAATCTTCCACTATTTTATTTCAAATACACACATATTCACACACAAAAATTTCTTAAATATATTTTTAGTTAAATAAAATCATCTAGACAAGTTGAAGAGAGGAATAAGTTTGAAATATCAAGTTTCTAGAAATCAGATGCTTTCGAATTTCTTATATATTATACTACCACTATAATAATAATATGCATTAGCTAATGGTAATTACTTAATCTGCAATTTAATAATTATTCAGACACAGCAAGTGTAGATCACCTTATCATCATGGACAGAGAAAATACGAGACTGGTAAATTACTAGTCACACGGCCCTGGAAGGACAGAGCCATTTAATAACTGAGGCTTGACTGTCAGACCACAGATCTATAACCAGCTAAATTCTGTTCTATTTTTGTCCTAGCAAAGCAGAATTTTGTAATTTATTAGGCTCTAAGCTTCAACCTCAGATCTGGTACATGATGCTACTACTGCAGACCTTTTTTAAGGAGTTTAAACTGACTATCAAAAATTACAAAAACTCAGTTTTTGCAATACCATTAATTATGAGGATAGATGTCACAGGTAACACTGACTGAGTACTTACTATTTGCAAGGTACAGTTTTAAGTGCTTTACAAGTAAATTATTTCATCAATTCTCTTAGCAACCCTAGAGATAGGTACTATTACCTATTTACAGGTAATAGATAAAGAACTTGGGCCTTGAAAAATCTAAGTAACTTGCATATGGTCCCTCAAGTAACTAATGAAGGCAGAATTTGAATCCAGATATCATTCTGGATTCTGAACTATCAATGCCATGGTTATTCTATATCATATGCTTTGCTTGCAATGGAGAGACTTAGCCATGGTCTCTCTTCTTACAGATTTGATGATCCGGAAAATACCCCAAATTAAAAGTATTATTTTGGATATGTGCACACAGTATGTTAAAACAGATGATCAATCCTATGAAAGCTATTGCCAAGAAAAGAAAAACTATAAGAAAAAGGACAAATATTTTAAATATTCTTGTATGCTGCTAGTATATCAGTAACACTTACTGTGATAAACCAGTAGGAATTCGCTCTATAAACCCATTTTGAAAAGAAGCCAAATTGATCGACTGGTGCCAGAACATGGAGGTGCAAGTGGGAAATGGAACAGAATGGCGGCACATGGAAACCCATCCTAAAACAGAAATGCAACACATCACTGACATGTCATTTCTACAAGAGTTTAAAGCTATTTTTTTGTGTTAAAACACATAAATGTTAAAGAGATTTAAAATAGGTTACCTAAGGTAGATGTGCATTCAAACATTTCTTTTACTGTTTTTCTTTATATACTTCAGAATATTCACATGGTTCCTCTTCTTTTCATGTTTAAGTGCTCAGTTACATAAAGTCTTCATCAAGGAAGGCCTTAACAGCACACCATGCCTTAGTATAACCTTCATGAATTCTGAGTTGGCATTCTGTCCTATCCCTTTTAGTCTTTATCATACTAAGCTTTAATTCTCCTAAGATATGCCTCTTCAATGAATCTTTAAAAAAAAAAAAATTACAGGGCACTCAAGTATTGTTCCATTATTCCAGGACATCACCAGCAGATGGCGAGTTCTATCCTCTAATAAAGGCAGTAAATCATTTCCTTACAACCAGTAATTCAGTAGTAAAATTAGCCATGTCATCATTAAAAAAACCTTACCCCTTAAGTTTCCTGTTTATAATTAAAGGTTAGATTATAATTATTTTCATTTTCTTTATAAAACATAAGAGAATTCCTTTGACTAGTAAAAAATAATTTAATATGATTTACCCTCTTAAAAACCAATTTAGTTTTGCAAGTCCACTTATTCTAAGTGGAAAAAGTCACAGAAGTCCTATGCCATATCAACATAGGACTGACAGTGTAAGTCAGATATGCAGCACATATCGAAAAGCTGTCACCACTTTCTAGAAAAGGAGACTAGGTTTTCCCTCTGTGAAATATGAGGCATATAATGTAGAATCAAGTAATCTGGAAGCTAGAAGAAACTCGAGCGCTCACTCAACCCTTTCATTTTAAAGATGGGGAAGCCAAGATCCAAAATGTTTAAGAGATTCCTAGTCTCAATATTAAGGAGTGGTAGAGTTAGGATTTAGACGCAGTGTCCATTCTTATAACAAGCACACACTCCTATGACTGGGGAGGGAATGTGCTGCTTTTGGCCAAAGGATATCAAATACCATCTGTTCCTTGTCATTATCACCCTTGGGTAGTACTTAACAGTTTTCAGAGACATTTTCACACATTGTTTCATCTGAGTCTACAAGGAGGCAGAGCAGGTACCACCTTAGAGAGGTTGAAAGACTTGTCTAACAAGTAATACAGCCAATACAAGCACAATACACAGCAAGTAGCATGGATAGTATTAGAATTCATGTCTCTCTGAATTCCAGTTCAGAAGTATAAGAAGTAATCACCACTATACCTGCCTTGGTACTGCTACGGTCACAAAAGAAAAAGTCAGAAATGTTTTAAAAAGAAAAAAAAAAACAGTTGCCAAATTGAACATTTTTGTGCTTTTGCTTACACTTTGACAAATGTTGGAGTTCAGTTCAGCAGGCAACATATTCAAGTTAATTTCATGCCAGAAGTGTAATAATGTATTTTTAAATCACAAAATATTTTCTAAGGAAATTTGATTTATCCACAATTTTATAGAAATGAACATACTGAACAAAGAAGAGTAGACTTGTAATTATCTGCTTACCTACTGCTTGAATAACTTGTCTGTCCAAACTATAAGTGGTGATTATTAGAAGATGTTGAAACATGAGAGGAAGAAGGTTTTTAATTAAATTTACACAATCAATGAACTATACATTCACTTTCAGGAAAACTGTATTTAAACTGTGAAATCTACCTCTCCTTTCTGTTTCCATGAGGAAATAATGTTTCAGAAAAACCAACTGTGAATATTGGTTTCTATATGGAAGTAAGTATACATACCTCACATTTTTGAAGTCAGTGAAATTATTCTTTTCAAGAATGGTTTTTCCAACAGTAACCATGTTCTCAACTATAAAACAGGAAAGAAACTACATTACACCATAGGAGATGTTCCATTCACAAAAGTGTTATTAATCTTCATTTTTAGGGTCATAGTCAAAATTGTATCAAATGAATAAACATTTAAAGGCACATTCAGTGCTTTAAGTCACTGAGAAGTTTGCTTATCAACAACTGAAATGAAGTTCAACTTACCACAAAATATCACACATGGGCTGGCTTTGAACAGCTGTTGAGGGGTATTATCAAGTGACTATTACGGACATCCAATCCTAATGAGGTCTAATTCTAATCATACAGAGACCAAATAATTAAAAAATTGTTTGAATTAAGAAGACAAGAAAACACTGAATTTGTCTTTGAGTCCAAATTAGGGATTTTGACATCCCTTCTGGTCAGCCTAGCCTTGAAGAGCTAAATATTTGTGGAATTGTTTTGGCTTCTAAACGTCATCTGCCTTTATTGTCTCGGTGCTTCATGGCCTTCAGAGGGGACTATGCCTCCTCATTAGAAAAATTTTGGTAACCTGGTATCTTCAAATCACAATGACAAATTTTAGACCTCTTTTGTTTCTGAAGGGTAATTAACTGTTTAAAAGGGGGAAAAAACGAGAGACTTTACCGGGAATGGTTGTTATAATACGGCTTATAAATTTGTAGCTGATGTTACTTCTCTCAGTCAGACTTGACACAGGAGGCTGCCAGACTTCCATGTCAAAGATAAGCTCAAATTACTTCTAGCCAGAGTGTATATTGTTTTAAGATATGCCAGAGATCACCAAATGAGGGTAAATATAAAAGGCCATATTATTTTTTAATCCCTTTAAAAGACATGTAAGCCTGTTTAAAGCAATAATTGTAACAGTATTATGGGGCTATAAAATATGTAGATGAAATGCGTATGACAACAATAATAAAGTGTTGTGAAGTCTCACATTTTACATGAAGTGATACAATGTTAGTTCAAATAGGCTGTGATAATTATAGTATATGTATTTTAATCTCTTTAGAGCAACCACTTTTAAAAAATGTGAAGAGGAATACCTAAAACAGCAAGAGATAAAGTGAAATACTAAAAAAAAAAAAAAAAAACTGATCAACTACAAGGAGGCAGTAAAAAATAGGGAAATGAAACAAACGAACAAATAAAAGGACAAAGAGAAAATAAATGTCAAGATGATAGACCTAAATCCAACTACATCAAAAGTTACATGAAATGCTTATGAACTAAACACTCCCATTAAAAGACAGGTATTTTCATACTTCTGTTAAAAAAAAAAAGTAAAGGCCCAACTATATTGCTACCTTCAAGTCTTTAAATATAAATATTCAGTTTGGTTGAAAAGATAGAAAAAGATAACCGGTGCAAACACAATAAGTAATAAGAAGGCTGGAGTAGCTAAATATCATACAAAATAGACTCAAGAAGTATTTCCAGAGATAGACAGGGACATTTTATAATAAAAAAGAATCAATTCATTGAGAAAAAATAACAGTCAGAATTATGTACTCATTTAAAATCAGATCCAAAATACATGGAACAAAACCTATTGTCTCCTTTCTCTTTTATTGGTATCTACTCTTTCTTCTTTCTTTCTTTATACTTACTTGGGTCTGGTTTGCTCAACTCTTTCTAGCATCCTAAAGTTAAAACTTAGGTCATTCATTCTAAACCTCCTTTTCTAATATAAGCCTTTAAAGCTACAAATTTCCCTTTAGGCCCTGCTTTAGCTGCATTCCATGTATTCTGATATGCTGTATTTTTGTTACTGATTAATCCAAAATTTTGACTTCTTTGACTTTTTTATTTAAAAGTTATTCCGAAGTGTGTTCATTTTTAAATAGTGTTATTATAGATTTTATTTTCCTATTCCACTGTCATTAAAGAAGATATTTTATGAGATTTTAATGATCTGAAATGTATTTAGACACATTTTATTGCCCAAAACATGGTCCATCTTGGTGAACATGTGCTCTTAACAAAATGTATATTCTATAGTTAGGTAGAGTTTCATAAATGTCAGTTATAATCACAATGCTTGATAGTGTTATTGAGCTCTTCCATATGTGTATTATTTTTCCAACTTTAAAGACTGTATAAAGTATTAATTACAAGTACTTAAAAATTTTTATTATGGAAATATTCAAATGTTCACAAAATCAGAAAGAACAGCATAAGTATAATAAAACCCCAAACACCTACCATGCTGCTTCAAAAATTAGTAACATTTGATTTCCAACAGTTATAAAAACTTTTAATTAAAAAAATAGAAATACTAGAAAAAGAAAATTTCTCCCTCTCAAGAAAAACAGTAAAACAGAAATATAAAAGTATTTCAGTACTCAATGCTATGGTGGTGGCTATTGCCTAGTCTAAATAGTGCATGCATCCTGGCCTCCATCTGTTGGAAGGAGTGTGATACCACTCATCCTGAATGACAGAACTTCAGATGACTAAGGAACTTGCATTATCTAGAAGAACACAGTTTAAAAACTGGTAATTCAGTAGTCTAAGTACTAGTGAACTACACATCAAAATTTTCTATCAAAGGGATTTCTCATTCACCTTCAAAACATCTGGTCCAATCTATGTATCTTGCCCACTTCCTAACTAATCCCAAACCCTGGTGACAAAGGCTATCAAAGCAGATTGGAAATGAACTTAAAAATATCTTAGTAAATGATAATTGACAAGTCCCAGAAATCATGAATATAAAAACACAGGATAACCCTGTAAGAGACAAAATTCAGAATCTCCTTTCCAGGGGCTAAAAGTTCATCAGTAAAATCTCGTAATTAAACTAAAATTTCATCTACACAGGAAACTACAAGGCAGGTACCAATATGGTCCTACTCTCAGGCAATATGAGCTCATGCGTTACATCATAACTTACTTGTATATAATTTTTCACAGCACCTTTCATTTTCAAAGTCAACAAGAGCCATCATTTTAAAACATGAAAAGCAATGTCTTTTATAGATTTTAATGATTAAATAAATCATGAGAAGGCAGAGTTCTTTGGAAAAGACCATAATGCTTGGGAAAAAAGAAGGTAGCAGGAAAAGAGAAAGACAAATTATCAGCTGGACTGACTCCATGAAAGAAGCTTTAGATGTGAGTGTACAAGGAGCTGAGCAGGGCCATTGAGGACAGAACACTGGACATTACTCATTCACAGAGTCGCCAGGGGTCGGGGCCCACTCAACGGCATGTAAAAAGGACATGATATCTGGGATGTCTTTCAAATACACTGTGGGAAAAGATCAACAGATAAAAAAGGTTGGCCATGAGTTAATAAATGTTGAGGCTGAGTGATGAATAGATGGAGAGTATACTATTTTATTTCTGCATATATTTGAAATTGTTCATAATGAAAGTTTCAGAAAGTCATAGTGTTCCTTTTCATAATACCCGGCTAGACTTTTTAATTGTCACGGCCATCACTGAGGACAATTAAGATGACAGAATCATGAAGAATACTACCATCATCTTACCAAGGTCTATTTGCTCTTTCTTTAGATCTCTGCAGTTTCCAATATGCTTTTTTGGCACCACAAGATAGTGATGAGGTGCTGCTGGTTTGATATCTTTGAAGCAAACTAGGTCTTCATTCTAAAAGTAAAAAACATATCAGTTGTTAGTGATTTTTTTTTACAAAACTTACCTAATGCTGTTCTGGCATTCCTACAACATCACAAATCTCAATCTGATAGGCAAACGGTACTTTATGTTACAACTAAGCCCCATGGGGCAACTTTGTGATTATGCATTAAGTTGTAAAGACAAGCTTTAGCTGCCTTTGTGAGATGCTTGTTTACTCCAGAGAATAAAAAGACTTATATAAAATCAATTTCAGGAAAACAATTATGAATGTAGTTCATTAAAATTCACCGACAACAATCTCAGAGTTATTTTTATTTCACTATATATTTCTCCATCTCTACCCTAAGGTTTTTTCACTCTTAATATGTACTCTTAAAGGTTTGACTACAGAGTCATAGCAAAATTGATAAATACTTTTTTATATTTCATTTCTCTCCAAAGCAGCATGCTCCTCAATTATAACAAGAACATTGCCTGGAATCTACATAGTCAGGGGTCATATTTTATACATTTTTACAGCAACTATACACAAATACTTTTCCTTTATGTTTACCTGCCTTTGAAATGTTCAAACACACAGCAGCATATGGTACTAAGTTATGTGTCCAATTCATTACATCAGTTTTCTGGTTTACATACTCCATATAGTAATGTTAGGAAAAACAAAGGAAACTGAAAAAGGAGTTTTTCAATCTATTAACATTTAAGTTTCAAGCTTTCCAAGAGAAAAGTCTATATTCCCTAATAACCTTATTCAATACCTTATATAAAAAAACTGTCAAAATTAAATAAAATTCAGTATCAATAAGCAAAGGTTCCCTCAGGAAAATTCCCACAATGCACGGCTGTCCATTAGTTCTCCATTTGAGGACCCAAAACTCAGTTCGAACGAGGGCCTCATATCCATGCCGGTAATCTTGGTTCTAGTGAGAATGGTCAAAGGCAACTGTATGTATTGCATCATTAACTTCCTTAGCATTATCCATACTGCTCATCTAAGCTTCAGGTAGCTGACAAGTCGACCTCCACTGAGAAGGAGAATTTTTGTCTACTTTAGTTCTCAGTAGAGCCATAAATGAAATGGAAAGCGGCAAAAACAAGGTATTATATAACCGTTTCCTATCTCAAGACTTCTATAAAATACCACAATATTACTTTATTAAAATACTGTTTAAATATTGACTTTGTTGCTGTCCACACTTACATATCTTCAGCACAGAAGCTGCTAAAATGCGGAGGCACACCAACACAAAAATCTTGATTATTTTTCCAGCTATTAAGTGTAACCTGCCTTTAAGATGGTAGCAGGAAGGGGAAAATATTGTTGTTTTTACAATCTTGTGGTTAACAGTGATGGGTCAACTGATTGTAACGTGAGCAAGGGGGAAAGTACTCAAACAAGAACTGAACTGAGGCTCCTGCCTTCAGAGGCAGGGATCTGTTCTGATGCTGTGTTTGAAGAATATGAGAATCCTTCACTACACCCAAACTTTCAGGAAAAATTTAAAGCAAGTGTTAATTTGTACTAAAGTATCAAGAAAATGAAAGGAAAAGAACCAGTGTTACAATCCTTGGTTAATGTAAGACAAAAGTTTGAGGCTGAGGCAGAAAATTAAGTAGAGACAGAAAATCATGAGAAGTGACTACACAAAATGTGTGCAGTAAGCTTCTCCCAGCCCATGAGAAAGTCCTCTGGCAGACTGAGAGAAGTGCTGACTTTCCTGGGGTTTATGGAAAGAGGCTCAGGCCAGCTTTGTGTGAGTATGTCCATACACACACACATGCATACATGTATGTACATGCATTTAGATGTATACACATATAAACATGTGTGTATGTATGTATATAAAGAGATATCCTGGAAGGCTGAGTGACTTGGGGAACCTTAAAATAACAAATAAGACTATTATGTCAATTCTGATACATTTTAATTATGGCTTTTCTGACTAATAGTAACTTTAAACATTGATATCCATGAAATGTTTTAGAAAAGGATGAGACCAAGGACCACAATGTGATTGTTTAACATTTTTTTCACCATTGCTTTAGTGCTTCCAGCTGAGAAACTATCAGTGTTGGGCGTCAAATACAGCACAACGAAAATTGCCACTATTGAACTCTCCAGATTAATTCATAACACAATAATTTTATATGTCTTTATTTCCATTTAATTATGGCATTAACTTTTTTTAAATCCAGAGGTAATCCTTTCTGGTACAGAATAAAGCCTGATTGGGATCAGTTTGAGATAATGTAGCTGAATTTTACCTCAAGGCAGAAGTAACACTGCTTTAGACTGATGAAACAAGAAAAGAGTCTAAGGCCCTAGCGCGGTGCCACAGCTGGTTGGAGCACTGTCCCGTACACCGAAAGGCTGCGGGTTTGATCCCCGGTTGGGGCACAACAGGGAGGCAACCGGTCAATCGATACTTCTCCCTCACATCTATGTTTCTCTCTCTCTCTAAAATCAATAAACAAATCGTCGAGTGAGGATTTTTAAAAAAGAAGAGGAGGAAGAAAATACAGTCTAAAATAAAACAGGAGAAAAAAATTAAAGAAACTCCTAAAAATGTGTTGTCTCAAACTCCATGACTCAGCTTCAGGAATGAACCAAAGGCCCAGTTCTCCATCTTTGTTTCCCAAGCCCCTATTTTGAAAGATTTTATTTACTAAATATCATATATGAATAATTTTCCCAATTCTAAGTAACAAAACAATCAATATAACTGTCATTACCAAAAGTAGATAAAATTCCTGTCAAAAAAAAAAAAAAGCAACTAAAAAAACATGATGTCTTAGCCTATGCAATCAATGATTGAATTAGATTTCCATTAAGCTTTCTAAAATATTGAAACTGGTTCTCTGATGTCACCCTCTCTCCCATTTCTACTACAGACCCAGCCATTATTTGGACTTTTCATTTTAAGAAAGACTATTCTTCTACTCCCAGGATACACTGGCAAAAAATATGCAATGATATATGTAAAAGGCTATAGAATAATTATGATAGTAAAAGACTGAAAATAACCCATGTCCATAATTCAACTAGGAAACTGATTGACTAAATTATGGTAAACCCATGCAATGGAGTAACATGTAGCTATAGAAAGGAATGAGGAATACCATTACAAACTTACAAAACCGTTTAGACAGCATACTTCTAAGTTAAAAAATAAAAGCAAGGAGCAGGAAAGTGGTTAAGCTATCTTTTGTGTAAGAGGGAAAAATACAAATATAAACACACAAACATACATATTTACTTACAATGGACAAACAAAAATGTTTTTTAAAAGTTTCTTATGGGGGAAGAGGAACACGGTAGCGATCGTAAGAGAATGGATGCTAGGTTTTTCCTAATGTACTTGCTTTACAATTTTAACTTTAAGAGTCAACATTTAGCATACATTTCTGAACTTAAAAAGAAAAACAATATAATCCATAAAAACTGAAAACAAAAAGAAACAAATGAACCTAACTGTATGTCATATTGGTAACATAACCATACAAGGAAAAGATGATTTCAAGTAACTTTGAGATGCAAAATTTTGACTATTCATCCCTAGCAACACCCATTAAAAGAGAATTTTTATTTCCTGCTTTCAATTCAATTCATAGGCAAGCTTCTTAAGTGTGGGACATGTCATATTCCTCCTTGAACTCCAAGTGAACAGTACATATTAAGCCTGCAAAACTTGAATAAATGACAGCTGCTTACACAGAGAAATGAAGCTACCAACACTCCCTCCTCTCCTCCTTCAAAACAAGTGGTGTGTCGTTAGGCTTTCAGATACTTTCCCAGTAAGAGAGGCGGCTTCGTCATGATCTTTCAGTCTGTCCTTACAAAACACCTTTTTTAAACTTGGCCACTGTTCGATCAGAACAGTCTTTCTCCACCTTTCCTCATTATCACCCCTAAAGCGTGATTTTTTTTCCCCTAATTACCCCCCACCCAATGCTACTTTAATATTGGAGGTATATTGTATATCTGCTTATGTCCTGTATGGTATATCTGTGCTTCATACAAATAAAAAATAAACATTTTACTGCCCCTGTCCCAGGCAAGAATATCAATTTTTACCCTTCTTAAGAATGCATGGATTAGACCAACAGCTAGTCTATTCTGACTCCATGATCAGCACTGAATCTAACCATCTGGGCTAAGTAAGCATCCACTTAAATACAACAAATAAACTGTGGTGAACAGGGTCGGTGAGCACTCATCCTCCATTGCAAATACTGCTGTGCTTTCTGTACTACAGAAACTAAAAAAAAGCTCAGAATCTCAGAAGGGATTCAGATCTTGCCAATTAGATGTACTTAGAACATTAGGTGCTTTGAGAAGCTGACCTGTGGCAAAGGTAGCCACTGCGTCTGCCAGTTCCAGCTGGCAAACAAGGTCAGCTCCAAGACTACAGAGATACCTCCCCTTTTCTTCCTCCCCCCACCCCTTCCAATGTCTAGTCACTAGCCTCACGGGAGTGAAGAGACAGGCACGAGACTTTTTTTTTTGGTCAGCATGGACTACCAGTGTGAACCCAGCAGAAACAGTGTAGCTCTGAAGCTGTGTTGTTTCTCGAATGGAATTAGAAATACATAGGTGCTCTTTTGGCTGTGGATGCTATTTTGGCTGTGGGTGGCATTTAACACCCAGGGGTTAGGAATGCAAAGCTTCCTGCAATAGGCAGAACAGCCAGAATCCTGCACAAGAGAGTCCAACCCAAAATGCCAATAGTACTCCCCCAGGAAACACTGCTCCAAAGCGACAGTAACACCGTCTCTTCCTCTCTGAATCACACATACAGAGGAATCTTCCTGAAGTCCAAGTTCCACTGGCAGGCGATCCCCCGACTCCCACCATCCTGGCTGTGGCAGACAAAACCGCTCTCCCGCGAGCCAGCTCGGCAGTGCTGTTCTGGGTGTCATTCTTGGAGGCTTTTCCAGGACCTGCTCCTCCAGCCTTGTAATGACTTTTCCAGCAAGTGACTGTCTATATTAAATAAATTTCTGCTTAAAATAAATAGAATATTTTCTTTCCTTTAACTGAACCCAGACTGGTATCTAAAACAAATGAAAAGAAATATTTTAAAGAGCACTTCAATACCATGCCATCTCAGCTGCAAGGCAATTTCGACTGAAAGAGGAGGAGAACTTTCCAGTTGCCCTAGTATGTCTTCATTATAGTCTCAAGCAAAGTGCAAATGAACACCCAGCCCAGTGTTTCTTCATTATCGCCCCCATAAGGACTCTTTTAAGACTTTTTCCTCCTAACCCTACCCCCATGATATTTTACTACCACATCTGGTTATGTACTCTCTGTATACCTTTGCCTCATACATAAAAAAAATAAGATATTATCCCCCCAAGAACCAATTTTCACTCCCTTGTGCGTGACACCTCCCTCACTGAGAATGCACAATCTAGCCTTTGCTTAGTTTGAATTCTTCAATATACAACAAGAAAAACCATATAGAGGCCTATGCAATGAGGAGTCTTGTGCAGCTTCTTCCACAAAGGTTTCCCAGACTAACCACATGTGGTGCTGTTAAGTCAAATTATTCCAAGTCAAATTATCTCCTCTGTGTTTTATTATAAGTATACTGCCTTACTTTATATAAGCCCAGTAGTTTCTAAATGTTTAAAATGAACATATAAATGAATATATAATCTATACAATGTAAAACATACAAATTAAATATTAGGTAATTGTTCTCTTGCTTATCTTTAAAACTTTAATTAGTGAGCTCTTATATATCAAATCATCTTAGATTCAATTAGAAAAAGACATACAACTTTTTGGAGCACCATTGCACAAGCATGTGTATATTCCGTATTATAAAATCCATTGCCTGGATTCATCCTTTGCTCCCTATTTAGGGTATAAATTAGTTAAAAGTATTGATCATGTCTAATTTCCTCCATAAAAATGTTCCCAGACACTTCATATAGTTTATTCTGAGAATGTTTCTAATAACAATAAGAAAAAAAATTCTGACCTTTGGCCAAGAGGAAAGCTGCGATAGAAGTCGGACCATCTCACCCCCTCCTCGTGACTATTTTCAGACAAAGCTTTCCACAACTACTAGTATCGATTTCCTACTAGTTTTCTTCAACATTGGTACCAGAGTATACGAAATTTAAAAGCAGTTTCTAGAAATCGAAGAAATACTGAACTCTGGAAAGTTAAACTCACTTTACCTCTTGCTAACCTAATTTTATACTTAGTAAAATACAGAGTGAATGAAGAGGCAGAGCCAGGTCCCTTCTGACTCGATGGATCAGTTCAGCAAGAGGCCTATTTTGCAGGGAAACAACTGATGTGCTTATTCTTTCTCTCTGTCGGCTGCTCCCTCTCCACTTCTTTCCCCAACTCAACGGAGATGTCATGGTCTATCAGTTCAGCCAATCTCGTAGCCAAAAATTCTTATATTTGCCCCACTGCACTTGTAGAACACCCATATGGCCAGGCCCCAACCCTGGGTTGACACCTTTTGTGCAACTAGACTTAGGCTGCTGGAGGGATACAAAAAGGACACAGCTGAGCAGCCGGTAAATTAAATGTTCTCAACCTCAACAGACCCTCAACTGTATACAACAATCCTTTTGTCTCCTTGATTCCCTTTCCTGGCCTCCAGAGGAGATTCTCCAGACTTTTTACTTCTAAATAACCAGGTAATTTGCTCCTTCACCTCCTTCAAGCCTTCATTCAAATGCCACCTTCTTAGTGCAGCTTTTCCTGACAAAAATTTAAAACTTCATCAGGCACTATTGACACTTGGGGGCATCCCTTTCTCTTTTATTTTTTACCACCTAATAAACTATGTATTTTGCCTAATATTTGGCTTGTTGTTGATTGCCTGTGCCCACGAGGACAGGGGTTTTTGCTCATCTTGTTTACCTCTGAATCCCACTGCCTCCGACAGCACCTGGTGCAAGAAGGCATTCGCTCAGATACTGAGCAATGATGAGTGGAGTTCCCTCTTCCCCAGGGACAAAGCTCTAACCCTCGGGCCACTTTACAACTGTGTCCACTGGCATCTCCTGATCAGTACTGAGACGTGCCAAAGTCTTCACTCCTTAAAATGCTTTCTCTCAACTCCCAATTCCTCCTAGAGCTATCACTCCCTTTCCTCCTCCCCAGGACTGCCAAACTTCCTTCAAAAGTTGTCTATATTTGTTCTCTTCAATTTTTCATCACCAGGTTCTTCTCAATCAACTACAATCCACCTTCTGACTCGCCACGGCACAGCAACTGTACTCCTAGAAGTGAATGACCATCATTGTGGGGACAGAACCAGTTCTGCTCTATCTTGGCCTCTCCACAAGCAAGTGGGAGGGTCACCTACCCCAGACTTGAGAATCAGGGAAGACTGGTAATGCTGCCCATTCCTGTCTTCCTGACATACTCCCTTTTCTGAGCTTTCCTAGTTTTCATTCTATTTCTTTGACTGTCCCTTCCCTGGCCCCGTTTCAGGTCCTTTTCCTCTGCCTCTCCCTTACAACATCAGTGTTCTTTAGGATTCTCTGAAGGCTCCCTTCACTTCTAACCCTACGTACGTTTCCTAGGCCATCGCCTCAATTACCCTCTTTTCAATTTCCACCTATACGCTCGCAGCTCCTGTAATCTGAGCTGGAAATCCAGATCTCTTCAGAATGCCAGACTATCTAACCACTTACTGGACGTCCTTACTTAGATGCCTCACACTGACCTCAAACTCAATTCCAAAACCGAACTCATAGCTTTGACACTTCCCACTACTCTCCCGGCCATCTGCTCTCCTCTTATTTTCCAATCGGAAAGAGATGGTACCAGCACTACCAGTTTACCCTAGCCAGAAATCTGGAAGTTATGCTGGATCTTCCTCTTTCTCATTCTCCCACATCGAAAGCAGGGTATCTCAGCCTAGGCACTATTGACATTTGGGGGCCAGATAATTTCGTTGCCACAGGGGGCTGTCCTGTGCATTATATAATATTAGCAACCTTGGCCTCTGTCCACTAGGTACCAGTAGTCCTCCCTGACTGCACAGCTGTCACAGCCAAAAGTGTCTCAAGGCATCGACAAAAGTCCCCTGGGGAGCAACTGCTTCCAGTTAAGAACTACTCCTCTGCATTCATCAACAAGCCTTGTCCACTTTACCTCCTAAATATCCTTAAATTGAGCCACTTCCTCCATCCCCACTGCCATGTTCTTATTTCGGGTCATCATCTGGCGAGATGATTCAAGATCCTCCCCGCAGGTCTCCAAGCCTCCAGACCGGTCTCCTCCAATCTAAGGAACAGGGCCAGAACAATCTTTCAAAGACCAAACCCCTTTAGATAACCCAACACCTTCCCCCAACCCAATACTAAACATTGTGCAGCTTCCCTCCACTCTCCAGATAAAGATAAAACTCCTGAAAATGATTGCAACGCCCTTAATAATCTGGCCCCTTGTTTAACTCTCCAGCCTCACTGTTCACCTCAAACACTAAGCTCCCATTAGACAGACTGTTAGTTCTATGGCATAAAATGAACTTCTGAAGGTGCTCTCTACCTATGACATTATCTTCTCACCTGGTCAACTCATACTAATTTCTTCATGCCTCGCTTCCTCTAGAAAGAACTTCCCTGACCCTTCAAATCTCGATTAGGTGCCCTTCCCACAGGCTTGCACAATACCACAGGTGATAAATCGTCTCCCCATAGCACAGGGCACTGTAATCAGCACCTCTTCTGTCTGTACTCATTCCACCTTTTAGATGGTGAAATCTGAACAGGGGCTATCCTTTATCTTATCACTGCCTCTCCAACACTAAGTGCTTAGAAGAAATTCAATTTAATTTTAACAAATGTTAACTGTAGTTAAATAACTACAAAAACGATGTCTGGATTCTCTTTTGGATTCTGAAAAAGTTCTATCTTTAAAGGCAAGTAGAACGGACGGAAAAAGTGTGAACCAAGATATCTGCTTTAAGGCTAGTGCTCTTAAAATGTGCACACATCACAACGATAACACTTCTAGGAACTGAACCCTCCAATGAAAATCAGAAGCTACTGAGCAACAGCTTGACCTCAGACCTACTGCCCCGCAGCCCATTTTCAGTCAATCTAACCCCCGCCCCCAAAATCACAATTACTATTATCATTTTTCTACTAGTTTTCGCCTCGTATCAGAATCAGTGTGCAGAACTTAAAAAAACAAGTACCTCAACACCTGCAGAGACAGATCAAAGTGCTTGGCTTTAGCAATCTCCTCCGCTCGCGACAGCCAAGAGGCCTCTGCAGAAACTCCCCGCGCGAAGAGAAGCGAGGCAGCCATCCACCCTAGGACACCCAAACTCCCCCAGCGCGGTTCACACAGGATCCTCCGCCCCAGTCCCCACCCGAGGCCTCGCTCCCCAGCAACCAGGGACGATCGGTCTCCACCCACGCCGATCGCTCGTCGCTGCCCACCTCACAATACAGGAGTTCCGTGCCCGGTTCCTGCCGCCCGGCAATCCGGCAGAACACGCACTTGCTATTGTAGTCTTCGGGCTCCGACGACTCTGGGGCCACCTCGGCGGTCTTCGATGAAGGCATCGTAGGTTGGGCAGTCGCCGCTGCCTCGTAGCCGGGATCTGATTCCACGCTACAATGCTTCTGCTCCTCCGCCATTCCCTCGCCCGCCAAGGCTCAGAGCCTCGGTTTCTGCCGGACCCGTGGGCCTAGACCGAGTCCACCTCCTGCACCTTCTCGGTTTTACCTCGTGGCGTCGCCCCTCGCTCGGCGCTGGGCGGAGCGGAGTTGGGCGCACGCGCTGATCCAGGCTGACGCTAGGGGGAGGGCGACACGATGCTGGGCCTCAAAGCCAGCGGCTGGCCTCGAAGCCTGAGACCACGAGGGGGCGCACGAGTACGCACTACGGCACCACAGGGAGGAGCCTGCGGCGAAAGCAGGAGTTGCCACGCCCCCTGTGTCTTGTTGGTAATGACGCAAGACGTCCGCCGAGACGCAGGAGCACGCCCCGCGTTCTGGTGACATCACCAGTGCGCCCTAACGCCCCGCCAAATGCGACTTGTTGGGTATTGTAGACTTTCGTTTCCCAAGCTCTGTACTGTAGAAGGCCCCAAGAATGTGTTGTTATGATGGCAATGGCCTAAAGAGAATGAACAAAAGTTCTAGAGCTTCCTTTCAACGTGGTCATGTTTGATGCTCTTGCGTGCATTTTCAGCCCAGTGTTTCAAGTGCTTAGGATGACAAAGTCCAAAGCCGAACTTCACATCTCCTTCCTTGTTGTGAACAGCACCAACTAGATCAAAATAGAGGCCTTGGTAACGCGTACCTCATACACAGGGTAATGCAGAGCCCTGTAGTGGATCATCTAAAATATCACAGAAATTCGCTGCTCATGTCTCATTATTCTTCACCTCAACTACTGCAATAACCTTCTGACTAGTTTTCCTCCATGATTCGTATGTCACTCAAACAAAAACTGTTCAGTAACTATTGCCCCCAAAGAAGAAGTACCAATTCCTTAGCTTGATATTCAAGGTGGGCTCTGATTTGTCCTCAACTTTTTATTTCATAATACTTGGCTTTTGCTAAACACTTAAAATGTGGCATGTAATCCTTGAAACAAGAACGGTTGGTTTTATAACTCACACTACAGAGATGAAACAAACTCAGCAAGACGTGTTCAATACCATACACAACTAACCATTGACAGTGACAGAGTTCAGATAAAGGTTTATCCAACTCTAGAACCCACCAGGCTTTCTGAGAACAGAGCTTTTTTTTAATCACTGAAATTTTTCTTAAGCTAGCTCATTATAGTAGTTGTACCCTTGGGATTTGTTGATTAGAAAACATGTAACAAAGACCTATTCGTGAGTTCAGTAATGTTTTTGAATGAATGCATCTTATATTAAACAAAAGCACTTATATATTAAAAGTAGTTATATGTATGTGTTCAAGGCATTTGTCATTCCTTTTTCAGCTTTCCAGGGGCTTGGGGAACAACAATAATACCTTCATAGCCCCTCAGGAGCCCAAGGCAGGGTTCAGATTCAATACATTACTTTGTTCAATATAAGTATCCACTATTTCCATGCATAGAGTCCACCTTCACATGTGCTTTTATCCATGCTGTTGCCTCTGTTTGAAATACTCTTTCCATCTCTGTACAACCAAATTCCACCTTCCAAGCCACTCCTCAAAGGCTACCTTTTTCATGAAGTTTTAATTAAACTGAAATAAGTACTTCCTCTTGTCAATTCACACAGCAGTTTTCAATACTTGTAGGCTTTATTACATTGCATTATATACTATTTACATACATATTTTTCCAATTCAAAATTATGTTCCTTGATAAAAAGAACAGGGGTCTTTGAATCTCCCATAGTGCCTGGTACAGTGCTTTGCATGTAGATAGACACTTAACAATTGTCTAATGAACAAAAGAATGATTAGGCATAAGGGTGCTGCATAGGAGTGTTCAGTCTGCACATCCTACAAGAACAACACAAATAACCCAGACTGAGGTGGCTCGGTTGGGCATGGTCCTGCAAAGCGATAGGTCACAGGTTCAATTCCTGGTCAGGACGCATGCCTAGGTTTCAAGTCCAGTCCCCAGTGGGGACATGTACTGATCCATGGTTCTCTATCAGTGTTTCTCTTCCTCTCTTCCTCTCTCCCTTCTCCTCTCTCTAAATAACATAAATATATTCTTTAAAAAGTACAGCACAAATAAGGCTAATTCACATCATTGACAAATATTAACTCATATAAAAGCATATTCCAAGCCTCCTGACCAAGTTCTGGAGCAGTGGTGAGCTGACTCCTACAAAAACCCACCTTGGGTGTATATGGCCGCACACACTTACTCAGGAGACCTTTCACCTACATGCTGGCACACACATTCACTCAAGTTACACCCGTCCTGACTTTATTTTTAGTGAAGACTGCAATGGCTTCTCTTACCTGGCACTTACAAAGACTTGCTTCCCATTCCCCAACTCTAAACTTGATGTAATTGCCGACCATGGAAATGGGAGGAGCAACACCAAGTATTTGAAAAGTGGCTGGAGTATGCGTCCTGGTGTGGGGAAAGGCAAGAAGTATAGGCGGTTGTGAGTGCACAGACAGAGATGCTACAAGTGGTGCTCTGGATAGCTGCCCTGGGAAATAGCCATTCAGGTTGTGTAACAATAAAATTTTACTTGCAAAATGGAATGCTGTTTTCTAATTGCATAAGAATAGCATATGGGCTAGCAGCAGCTCTATTTCAGAGCTGGTTCTGGAGTCAGACAATTCTACAACTTACCATCTGTGAAGACTTTAGTTATTTATCTTTCTGTGCTGAGGCTATCTGTTTCTTCTCGATAAAATGATGCTAATAATGATGCTTAATGCAAACATTGTTGTGAGAACTAGAGCCTGGAAGCCTAGCATAAAGATCTCAATAAATCTTAATGATTATTACCAATATGTAGTGATAGTAAAACAACTTAAGTGATCAGATGGTTCACTTTCATTTAAATACAGAAGCTTTAGTGTTCATAAGACAGAGACTGGGTTATGCTTTGTAATGCCATTTATCCTGCATGATACTAACCAGGATAAACTTGAAGCAACTAACAATCTGGCTACTACTTTAGACAATAATGTTTTCAATTTTAGAGGTCAAGTTTCTTATTTTCTAGTATTTACTATATAGTTACCATGACCAACTTAGAAAGTTAATTAATGGGGAATTTACCCATAATTCTCATTTCTTTAGCTGCTTTTCTTGGTTAAAAACATGACATGAAAAAACCATGAATGTGTTGCACATAGAATGATGCATCAGGATATCATCTTATTTAAAAATAATTTAAGATATGGATGTAAGTCACATTATTATTATCAGTAGCAAGCCTTTATTAAAAGCCAAGTTTAAATACCATACCATAATTAACAAGGCTTGCCCTGGCCAGTGTGGCTTAGTTGGTTGGAGAGTTGTCCCACAGACCAAAAGGTCAAGGGTTCAATTCCTGATTAGGGCACATACCCAGGTTGCAAGTTCACTCTGCCAATCAGGGCATGTATAAGAAGGCAACCGATAGATGTTTCTCTCTCTCTCTCTCTCTCTCTCTCTAAAAAAAAGTGGGGGAGAGGGGAGTTTAAAAAATGTTCTCAGGTGAGGATTTTTTTTAAAAAGCCTTTATTTGTCCTTGCTTTCCCCATCATTTACTGACGCATTTATCTGTTCTTCTTTGCATCCAGACTCCTCCCAAAAGTTGTCTAAACACCTGTGAACCCTCCCCTGCCTCGCCTCTCACGCTGTCTCCCAGCAGGCTTTCACTGCCATCATTTCATCCGCACTATTCTGTTAAGGTGACCAATGACCTTCATGTCCCCGAATCTAACGGTCACTTCTCAAAGCTTGCCTTTTCAGGAACAGTTTATCATTCTGTTCCCCCTGATAAACTTTCATTGTCTTGGTTCAGGACACCACCCTTCTTCAGCTTCCCTTCTACTTGATTAGCTGTTTCTTCTCAGTATCCTTGGCCGCTTCCTCTTCTTCCAAACCTCTCTCATCACTAATGGTGCTTCTCATCTCCTCTCTCTCTCTCATATAAAGAGCTGCACATATTTAATGTGTACAACTTAATGAGATTCTTCTCTTTAGCTGCACTCAATCTCTTGGTGATCTCACACAGTCTGTGGTTTTAAATAAACACCATATACAGGCACACCTTGTTTTACTGCACTTTTCTTTATTGTACCTCACAGATAATTCATTTTTTTTTTTTTTTTTTACATATTGAAGGTAAGACCTTCCACCAGCAAAAAGATTATGACTCACTGAAGGCTCAGTTGATGGTTAGCAGTTTTTAGGACACAAAGTATTTTTAAATCAAGGTATGTACAGTTTTAGATATAATGCTATTGCACACTGAACACACTAGAGTATAGACTACAATATAGTATAAACATAATTTTTATATGCACTGGGAAGTCAGAAAAATCTGTGACTCAGTTTATTGCAATATTCATTTTATTGAGGTGGCCTGGAATTAACCCACAATATCTTCAAGGAATACCCATGTATGCCAACGACTCCCAAATTTAAATTTCTGGTACAGACATCTTCCCTGAACTCCACACTTGAATACCAAATACCTGTTCAACCATCCCATGAATATGTTAAAAACATGTCTGAAACTGAGCTTCTATGGAGAGAGCTCCTCTTTCCCTTCCAAAACCTGCTACTATTTTAGTTGAGGGAAACTCCATTGTGCCATCAACTCAGGACAAAAAGTTTAAAATCACATTTGATGCTCCTCTTTAATTCTTCATGTCCAGTCCTTCACAAAATTCTTTAGAGGACATCCAAAATCTGATGTTATCACTATATCAGTCTTGACTAAGTCACCACTACTTCTCATGTGAATTATTCCATAACCTGACTGGTCTCTCTACTTCCAACCCTCTTCCCACGCTCATTACTGCCTAGTCTTAACACAGCAGCCAGAGGGATCCTTTTAAAATGTAGGTCAAATACAGGAGCAGGAGAAGTGGAAATCACACTGCGAGGCAGTGGCAAGGGAAAAAGGATAAAAAGTTTGAAACATTGAAGATAACAGTAGGGACCATGATCGGAATGAAGAAAACAACACACAGAAAGATGATGAGAAGGAAAAAGCGGCATGAGACCAAGGTCAGAGCCGCAGCAAGAGGAAGGCTGTTGACCCTGGACCGGCAGATCATCCCCCGCAGTAACCCCACACATTCTGGTACTCGGGGAAAATGCCCAG